CAGTGCAGCATCCCACATTGAGAGCCTACTCACTCAGGAGTGTCCTAGATGTATATGACTACTGAGGACCCACGTGGGGACGCAGCCAAGACAACTGGACAACTACCTTCTTTCCCCTAATACAACGTACGGTGATTATAGCTGTATTTGACGCATCTTTCTGTCTAGATACATTCATAATGACCGTACGTTGTATTCGGGGGAAGAAGGTAGTCCGGGGAGGACAGCAGATTTGGCAAGCAGGCCAGGACAGCAGTGTGTATGCGCCAAAAAAAACTGAGACCAAAAAAAAAAAAATTCCTCGCAGCCGTCAACCCAGCCCCAATATATAAAAAAAAAGGGAGACCCCACACATCGGCCCCACAAGATGAGACGGCGTGCCCACAACGCACCTAGACCAAAAATTGTAACACGATTCTTCCGAGTACCCTGCACGAATACCGACCCACCCCCAAATTTGTGCCCACCCACCACCCATGTGCCCCAACATCACCCCAAAAACCACCAAAGAACAAAAAAGAAACCCAGGAAAAAAAAAAAAAAAACTTTCCTGGAAAGGAAACATCCAGCCGCACGAAAGAACGACCTCAACACTAGACCACCAGTCGCCCACGCTCCAAGCTGTACAACGACCGCTCCCCCTACCAGTCTTACTCCCACCTTTCCCCAACCCCAAAAACACCCCATTTCCTGCCCGCTGTACCGTAGCGGTCGTTGTACAGCTTGGAGCATGGGCAACTGGTGGTCTGGTGTTGAGGTCGTTCTTTAGTGTCGCTGGATGTTTCCATTTCAGGAAAGTTTTCTTTTTTTTTTCCTGTTTCTTTTTGGTTGTTGTTTGGTGGTTTTGGGGGTGATGTTGGGGCACATGGTCGTGGGTGGGCGCAAATTTGGGGGTGGGTCAGTATTCGTGCAAGGGAAACACGATTTCTTCCGAGTACCCTGCACGAATACCAACCCACCCCCAAATTTGCGCCCACCCACCATCCATGTGCCCCAACATCACCCCAAAAACCACCAAACAACAACAACAACAAAAAGCAGAAGAAAAAAAAGCTTTCCTGAAACGGAAACATCCAGCGACACCGGAGAACGACCTCAACACCAGACCACGAGTCGCCCAGGCTCCAAGCTGTACAACAACTGCTCCCCCTACCAGTCTTACTCCACCCTTCCCCAACCCCCAAAACACCCCATTTCCTGCCCGCTGTACCGCATGATAATTTCTGAGCACGTTTCCTAATTTGAAATTCATAAATCAGCGTTTTGCTCTGATCCCAATGAATGATTACCAAGTTTTAAATTCAAAAGGGTTATAAATTGGTTTTCTCAAAGTGGATTTGATATCCTACGTTTAAATTCAAAAGGGTTATAAATTGGTTTTCTCAAAGTGGAATTGATATCCTACGTTTATCCAACTTTGATTCCGACGTAGTTCTCTATATTTGTACGCTCAAGTTTGGGTTCTTAGTTTTTGAATTCGATAGTTGGGACATCTAGAACATTGGTTACAATTGAGTCTCAAGCTGTGATAGGGTAGGGTTTGGGCTCATAGGTGCTGATTGATTTATCTCCTTCAGGGTTGAGCCCCTCCCTGCGAGGGTTATACAAGGTGTGATACTTGAGAGGGTAGGGGTGGTCTTGTGGGTTTGTTCTCTTCTGGGCCAGGCTGATTTGGGTCGAATCAGCCACGGCAATTGGGAGGGAGGACAAGGGGTGCTGAATTCAGCAAGGTGAGAAGTCGAGAGGTGTTTCACTTGGAGGGTGTGGGACACGAGGGAAGGGGGATCTTTTGCTCTGCGGGGGCATGGTATAGGGGGTATTGTGTGCTGCTGAGGGAGCAGGAGTGATTAGGGGCCTGTTCTGAACTGGGGCTGGGAGGTGAGGGGTCACCTTCCAATGGAGCCAGCGAAAGGACAGGAGCTTGTGTTTTTTGGGGGAAGGAGTAAGTTGCTCGGAGTCTTGTAAACTTTTTTACATCCAGCTGAGATGTGAATAGGCCCAGGAATTTCCATGGGGAAAGAAGTAGTTCCCTCTCGTCCTCTCTCTCCCTGTGGGAATAATAGGTGTTGACTACCTTTTTAGGTTATGATTCCTGCGTGTGTGTCTGTGTTCTTTAAATTCTTTTGATTTTTGAGGTTTCAATTGGAAAAATTGTCATAATTTTGGTGTTGATTGCTGTGGATTGTGTTTGCGGTGATGGTTGGAGATAATGCGCTCTACGGGGAAGGGGCTAGCCAGTAGGGCGGAAATAGGGTACACAAGCGATGGAAATGGTGACTCTACCAGAGTAAGTCTTCCCGTAGTAAGGTTGAGAAGGTTTTCGTTGGATGTTTGCAGCCAATGCTTGAAAGAGTGGATGATCGGAACTACAACTATGATGACAATTGGTGGCTTGTCTGGTATCTATTGATGTCTTTGGTCCCAGTGGTTTGCGAATGAACGAGGTCAGAACGACGCTGGTCGGTGCTGGGGCTTGGTTGCGCTGCCCTGTAACCCGAGCGAAACGGGGGCATGAGACCTGGTAGAGAGATTTGCGAAATTGTTGAGGGTGGAAGACACTCTAGTATCTATTGGCGAGCTGATACTTAGTCGACGCTGGCCGGAGCCGGGGCGTATCGCTTTGCCCTGTAACCTAGCACGGGGGGGATTTCTGGGTGGGTCGTGCCACTTTGTAACCTAGCAGTTGGGGGTGGTAGGCCTGGTAGAGATTGGGTATCGGGGTATAGGAGAAAGGGCGATAGGGTTGAGCTGTTGATAGTCGCTAAAGGTAGGTGGTTTTCGGTCTGAATATTCCCGTGATCAAATCTTAGAAAATTGTGGTCTTACGAATGATTTGTGATTCTAGGGACCCCTAGCAACTCATTTTAGGAGGCTTCATTGCTGTTATACTCAGTGATTTGCGGTTGTTTGATGCCAGAACGACGCTGGCCAGTACTGGGGTGTTGCCCTGAAACCTGCTGATGCAGGAGTGTGACGCCTGGTAGAAAGATATGGGAATGCTTTGGGGTGGGCATTCCAAAGCACAACTAAGGGTTACTGTTGGGACGACGCTGGTCGGAGCTGGGTTGAGTCGTGTTGCCCTGTAACCCGAGCGGGTGGGGGTGTGAGACCTGGAAGAGCTCGGCAAGGAGTAAGACAGTGTTGGAGAATTTTAGAAGGGTTTGCTACGGATTCCGAGGGTTTTGAGCATTTATAGGACCTTTGTGGTGGCGATTTTTGCTTCTAAGACTCCAAAATTTTCTTAGCCAAAGCCGGGTAATGGCCCCGGTAGCTTAAAAAAAGAGGGGTTCCTTTAGTCCCTTTGTGGAGCTTATGTAGCGTGATGGTCCTGAGTGCTGGTCACACTGAGGTAGGATAGTAGGGATAGGGGATGCACTAGGAGTATTGACGCGAG